GTGTTTAAGAGATTAATGAACCAATCGGCGGGCCGTAATTCGGTCTGAGTCCAGTTGAATCTGAAGTTTGTGTAACATCTGTCAGAACTCCATTTTTTATGGTTTTGTTTCATGGTTTCTGCATTTTTTTATTTTTTATTTCCTGCCACACCCACTCACACCTGTTTCATTAAGCTCAGCTGTCACCCATCTCCTCGTCAGCCCCGGTCTATTTATTCCCTCTGTCTCCATTCTCACATACGTCTGTTGTACTTCAGTGACACAGCCAGTTTGCCTCGCACCTCCCTGATCCTCCCGGTAATTCTATTTCCGCACTTTATACGTTTTCGCTTCCACATCAGCTTTTTTTTTTTATTTTTTATTTTTTGGTTTGTTTGTTTTTATTTTGAGCTCTCGTGTATCAGTCTGCACTCTTGGGTTTGAAATAGGGGCTGACGTAGACAGTAGAAACGGTATGAAGTTGGCATAGGGTAGAAATTTACCCTCTACCGTCATATCGTCATTACATCATCACACCTGTGTCAGCGTGGCTGCGAGTGCAGAGACAACTGAACAGGAGTTCAGAAGAAATTATAGCATTTTAAAACACGTAAAGAGAGAATCAATCCTCAAAATTTCCGCCTTCCGCTGTAGTAAATTTACGTCGGGATGATAAATCATCAGAGATGATAAAAAAAAAAGAAGTGGACGTTCGTTCAGTCATAAATCCATCTTGCTAATAATAAAGACTACTTCTGCTCTGATGAAGATGATGAAGATGAGAGCGCAGCAGAGCAGCCGCCAATAAGTTCAGCAGGCAGAAGCTCAATGTATGGCAGGCAGATGTTACATTTATTTGGCTTCACCACACTTACATTCCAGTTATCTGCAGCTTAAGCCCCTTAAGGCCCTGTCACATTGTAACATTTTAGACAACATTGAATTGTTTTAAGTCTAAATGACTAATTTTACTTGAAGTACTTGTTATAACATCCACTTATTGATATTGTTGAAAATTTGAGAAATGTTTTTGTTTGTTGAAACCATTTTGCAAAATACATAAAACATTCTTTTGTACTTTTGTTATGTTCATTTGCACTACAGCAAAAATGCTGGGTTTGATTATGATTACAGTTTTTTGCTAAATAAATGCTCGAAAAATTGCATTACCTTTTGCTTTTTATGATAATTTTCTACCGCGATATATACCGTTACTGTGAAGAGATTAAATTTATACTGTGGTATGAATTTGCGGTCATACTGCCCAGCCCTAATTTGAAACCATCTCAATTTGTAAATTTGTAAACACTTGGACTCCTCATATTCCAGTTCACCGTTACACTCTCCCTTTTTCCTTTCCCTTTTTTTTTAGTTTTTGTACATTTCTCTATTAGTAGCTAACACCACATTAGCTGGATGTGAGGGAGATAAAAAGGAGAAAGTCCCTCTATCATATTGTAACTCTGAGGACTTGGAAACTTGGCTGTGTCTCTCAGCTGTAATGGATGAAGAGAGTGGGGAGGATACTTAAATTATAGTTTATTATCCTATAGCTTCTCCTCCTACATCATTACAGCTTTCCCTTCACCAAGTATATATAAAAGCTTGCTGTTAATGTTTGTAAGACAGAAATATAATTTTTTCGTCTCTTATACATAATAATCAAATCAGAAATCCAAGGCAATGATTTGATGAAACAAATTAACGACAGAACAACTCTGTATAAATGGATACAGTATAAAGAAGTGCCAAATCGAAATATAGCAACTTAAAAAGTAAAGTCTCTTATATTAAAAAAAACAGTATAAATGAAGAGCAATATTTATGCTTATATTGATGGATTGCATTGCAGGAGAAATGATTTCCTGTTTTACCAGTGAGGACTTTATGTCCCCCACAGCTGAGTCAGCATTCTCCGAAGATTTAGCAAAAAACATGAATCCTCTAAGATTTTATCTCCCATTTTAACACTTTATCAAGGTGACAACTTTGTTTACGCGCCGATATTTTATCGGCCAGTTTGACACGTCTGGAGAGACTGGTTGTTGTAGTATGTGGCGCTCTGTGCGTTTTGTGTATGCAGCAGTTTGTTCTGTAGTGGGCCCCTCATCAGACAGCATGATTGAATGTGTTTGTGTGTGTGAGGGCATGTTTTTGTTGCTTTGTAGGAACCATTTTCCAGAAAAAGGCAGCCTTGTGGGGACCAATGACCGGTCCCCACAGGTAGGAGTGCTAATTTCAGGTGGGGGGTTGGYTTTAGGWCCAARGTGRGGATTGAGTTTAGGTTAATTTTAGGGTCAGGTAACCTGTGAGGTTAATTTRAGGGTAAAKAGTCAGGGTTAGGCTACAAAATTACCAGAAAATGAATGGAAGTCAATCCACAGTCCCCACGGGGATACAAAAACACACCTGTGTGTGCGCGTGTGTGAGACAGACATTTATATTCTTTAAGCTTACCACTAGAGTGCGCTATCATCAAATCCTGCTCATCCAGGCAGGCTGATGCAGCTGAGAGAACTTTGGAATTTTTTTTAATGTATTTATGTTTTTGTGCAAAGTCTCTTAGCTGCAGATAAATGTTTCTATATGGTTACGGTTTTATCTGGAATGATGTATGGCTTTGATTAAACAGTAATGCGATCGTTCTGAGCTGCCTGTTATCTGATTCAAAGGTGGGTTCAGTTTGATTTTTATCGCCTCAGGTTGTAAGTAAATGAGAAAGTCTTCAGTCTTTTTTTTTCCTCGTGTAACGCAGTAACAAAGTAAAACTCAGTGAAGAAGTAAAACACAAGAAACTAAGGGCTTGTTGAAAATTGGTAAGAATTTCTCCATTAATTAAAATGATTAATGTTGACCTTGGCAGGGGATGTGCTTTCCCWGTGCCCGAGTTTTAAATAAGTAAAATAGGCTCTTAGCATTTTTACATTGCAGCCAATTAGACTTAACCTGTGTTAGGATGATCTTTTTTTAATTGATTTTGCCGTTGCATTACCCGAATTTAAAAAGAAGCTAAATTTAAAATAAAAACCTAACGGGGCTGCATAGGGTTATAAAATTAAACTGATTTGGAAAATCTTGCCTTTTCCAACAGCAAAGAAGAGTCTGAAAACCCTGTGCATATTGATCACAGTGTGCTTACATATTCACATTATCTTTTAAATGATTTAGCAGTGAACAAACTTGGGGAACACTAAATCAGATGAATTATGAACGCTTGTTATGTAAAGAATGTCTGAAATGAGCTGTAGGCAGACAACGAGGAATGTGAAGGTTTGAGCAGTTAATATAAAAAGCAGAAAATATACTTTTTTTAAAAACCAAGACCAAATTATCCCCCCCACCCCCATCCTATGTATTTTCCTTTATCCATCTATCTGAGGAATAGTCCCAATCCGGAACTTGAATGTGCTGGCTGTGTCTCTCCTCCAGCTTGATTCAATATGAATGAGCCCCCCTGTGTCTACAACAGGGCGGGACGACTGAGGAGGAGGAGGAGGAGGAGGAGGAGGAGGTGGTTTTGCCCCCCGATGAAGTCATGAAGCTATATCTGTAGCACTCAGCAAGTCTGACAGCGTCCACGCCTGGTTGCACTCGCACATGTTTGCATATGTGTGTGTGTCGATGAAGTCATAGGTCTATATCAGGAGCACTCTGTGTGATGGTGAACGCTGTGGGGTTTGCCCCGCTTCATTCTGTCTGTAATGCTCTTGTGCTATTTCCACTCTTTGTCTCCAT